CTATATGGAATAGTGATTGCTGGCATCGAACTGAGCCCTACACAGAGTAACAGTGATGTCAGCCTTGCAATATAACTAGAATATCATACAGACCATCTCCTGCACTACACTGAGAACGGAATGGAGCTGCAATAAAATCGCTCAATTTGTTTCCTAGCTCGCAAAATGTTTGAAATATTGATTAACATTATATAACAGGGCCATTTTCGGAGTGTCTATATGAGGAGTGAGTCACCCATCCCGGCACAGTGCAGGGACCCTCCTGGCACAGCCAAGGTCAGCTTGGCTCTCGTCAAAGCCATACAAAATCTTGCTAACTTGGAAGGATTTTCCAAATCAATATCATAGTGTGATGAAAACTGACAAAATTGTCCATACTTACGCGTCTAGGTCGACGAGCACAAGCTTCCCATCGCCTTGTTCCTTGGGTTCAACTTTTTTAAAGTAATGTTTTATATAAGGAGTGTGGTGTATATTTCATTCCCAGCTGCCAAAGAGGGGCTGTTTAATGCCTTACACCCAAGCCAGGCTGTGCTCACTTTCAGCTTTCATTGACAGTTGGGCCCTACTCCCGAGGAAACCCGATACCCTCTCAGGACACGTTCGTGTGTTGAAGCGCTCGACTGGGAAACAAGGCTAACATGAATTCTCGGATCTCGAAGCCTTTAAATTCATTTTTATTTAGTCCCCTCGCGGTTTGGGTTATTTTGGAACACATTACGCCTGTCTGTTATATTTACAGTTTTGAAAGAGAATCAAAATACTCAGGTTGAATCGAACCCTGGGTCTCGCGCCTCCACCAAACGATGTGTAATTGGAAATACAAATGCGGAGATATGTCGAAACCCGATTTTGCCAGGATCTTTTTTTCAAGAATCACACATAACAGGGAACTTTGTTTATAACACGTTATCCATGTTCCGGAGGAACGAAAACAGCAGATAGTAGGGCCCTTCGTGCAAATATAACTCTTCTGAAATGGCAGAAAAGGATAAACTGAAGCAATATGAAAACTGGATTTTAAAGTGCATTATTTTACACTCAACGCAACGTGGAAGGTACCTGGTTGGCTATAGCATTAATAATTAAACATATCAATCCATGGTCTACAATCATCTCATATATAAGCAACGTTCTTCTGTCGTGACTTGATAAAGACTTGTGGTATATACAGATAGAGGGAGCGAGAAAACAGGCGATATTAAGCCATGCACATACATACAATTGCTTTATACAACATTCGTGTTAAATTAGTGTTGTTTACTTGTGTAATGGCCTGCATATTCAAATCGGCATATAATCATAAAACATCAGCCGGTTATTTGTAGGTCACGTCGGGATTCCTGGTTAGAATTGGCCCCGCATGATATTGTTAGTCGTTAGAGTGAGTGAGCATGCCGCTTTTAGCATATTTCCAGCATTAAAAGGGGACTTTAATAGATCGGGTGGTCAAACTAGGCGTCTTGGTTGATTTTTGTCCCGACGGCGCTGGACGTTGCTCATAATATCAACAACTGGATTGATGTCCCACATTCGATTACCTACATGTTGATGTGATTGGTCTTCTTTATCAATTCAATATTTAGCCATTTTCCTTTAAATAGACAACACGGCTAAGGAAAGGTCATACGGTATTGGGTAATACATATCTTTAAACTTTAGGCTTCAAAGACTGACGAAATATATGTGTAGTTCCAATATTGCGAAACTGGAACCCTCTGACCAGAAAACCCCGCCAAATGCTGAGTGCCAGTGTTTGAATGTCGACGGGAGAGGGCTACACCTATGTTTATTTGAAAACGGATGTTTGTGGTAAACCAAATCCACCGAAGTACAAGTTGCAGCAATTATTCCACAGCAACATAAGAGTTCAAGTAACAGATATTGTCATATGAAACCTCGTGTTAATGACGTTCGCTCTATCTCATCTTCTCGGCTAAACAGCCATTGTTTGAGTTCGTGATGGTGGAGGAGCCTCCCCTCCTTGCTGTTTCATTACCAGGCGTGATGGAACAAGCACGTACTGGTGTGGTTCTGGTGTAGGAATTCAGAGACTTCCTACATTCCTGACAGTTTCTGCAGGGAAATAGGGCATTTCCGTCAGAAGAATCGTGTTGAAGTGCTGTGCAACACTGATGTTCTGCTGGGACTCTGGTGAGTGATGGATGAGTGAGTAAATGTGGTATTACGTCAAGGCTGGCAACTGTGAGTAAACCTTTCAGCTAGTCCCCACATACAACTGACAACTACAGTATTATTAGAATAACATTTAGAATCAGAAATAAAGTTATCTTAATTAAAAATATGTATCTTCAAAATAAATAATCCAAATGGAGCCCAGAACAATGCTTAATTTCCAAGAGCTGAGGCGATCTAGTCTGGCCAAATATTTCTAGACTTGAGTTGGATTCACATTTTAATTCTTCTGTGAATTTCTCACCTTCTATGGGTGAGATGAAATGGGGTTTAACATGGCGTCAAAGATTATTGTACTTATAGAGCAACATGCATGCACGTGTGTGTGGTTGCTTGTACTGGTCCGGACTATTGCCGGTCTTAGTGCTTGACCACTGAGATACCATGATGCAGGTTAACCCCACTCAGACACAGTATACTGACTCCGAGCTGACCAGTCCTTGTTTAGGCTGCTTAATGCCCAGCGTCAGACAGGGTAACAACAAGTACTATCTTTTAACGTCTTTTGGTATGACGCGACGGGGGATCGAATCCCGGACCTCCGGCTGTTTGGGCGGACGCTCTACCACTAGACCACGGAGGCGGTCTATCACAGTACACTATGAGTGAGTGCATTAGGTTTTACGCCACTTTTAACAATGTTCCAACAATATCATGGCGGAGGGACACCAGAAATGGGCATCATCCATTGTATCCATGAGGGGAATCGAACCCGGGCCTTCGGCATGACGGGCATGACGAGCGAACCCTTTACCTACTTGGCTACCCCACCGCCCCGTATCGGCTTGACAATAGAGAAACAATGAATGGATTGTCAGTGTATATACTATATTCATGTCCGTGGCCTGGAGTTTGGCTGTCAAAGCTTAATTCTTGCAAGGAAGGATGCACCAAACCTTACACCACAAAGGGAAACCTTGACATTGCCACATGTATTGCCACATGCATACTAGACGTATCCACACTCATTTCCTTATGCATATAGCAGTGCTTATACATAATAATATAATCAGAACAATCGACTTGAAAATAATATCTTATATACCATGTGTTTCACTGGGCGTGGGCAAAATCTATCTGCATGTGAATAGCATCAGTGATACGTAATTAGATATTGGTTATTGTTTATGTTAAGAGTGCAAACCCTTCACTGCTATAAATAGAATACCGGATGCAGCAACAAAGAAAGGCCCACACCACAACATCCTTACCTTAATCCAATATGTTGTGTCAAAGACATTTTTTATGACTGAATGAAACTGTTCCATAAGACAGATGACATTTGCTATCTGTCACATCATTTACTGCCATACTCAGTCTGGCATCAGTGTGAGGAGACCCCCACTATAATGCCATACTCAGTCTGGCATCAGTGAAAGGAGACCCTCACTATACTGCCATACTCAGTCTGGCATCAGTGAAAGGAGACCCCCACTATACTGCCATACTCAATCTGGATCAGTGTAAGGAGACCCCCACTATAATGCCATACTCAGTCTGGCATCAGTGAAAGGAGACCCTCACTATACTGCCATACTCAATCTGGATCAGTGTGAGGAGACCCCCACTATAATGCCATACTCAGTCTGGCATCAGTGAAAGGAGACCCTCACTATACTGCCATACTCAATCTGGATCAGTGTGAGGAGACCCTCACTATACTGCCATACTCAGTCTGGCATCAGTGAAAGGAGACCCCCACTATACTGCCATACTCAATCTGGATCAGTGTAAGGAGACCCCCACTATAATGCCATACTCAGTCTGGCATCAGTGAAAGGAGACCCTCACTATACTGCCATACTCAATCTGGATCAGTGTGAGGAGACCCCCACTATAATGCCATACTCAGTCTGGCATCAGTGAAAGGAGACCCTCACTATACTGCCATACTCAATCTGGATCAGTGTGAGGAGACCCTCACTATACTGCCATACTCAGTCTGGCATCAGTAAAAGGAGACCCCACTATACTGCCAAACTCAGGCTGGCATCAGTGTGAGGGGACCCCCACTATACTGCCATACTCAGTCTGGCATCAGTGAAAGGAGACCCCCACTATACTGCCAAACTCAGGCTGGCATCAGTGAAAGGAGACCCCACTATACTGCCATACTCAATCTGGATCAGTGTGAGGAGACCCTCACTATACTGCCATACTCAGTCTGGCATCAGTGAAAGGAGACCCCCACTATACTGCCAAACTCAGGCTGGCATCAGTGAAAGGAGACCCCACTATACTGCCAAACTCAGGCTGGCATCAGTGAAAGGAGACCCCACTATACTGCCATACTCAGTCTGGCATCAGTGAAAGGAGACCCCCACTATACTGCCAAACTCAGGCTGGCATCAGTGAAAGGAGACCCCACTATACTGCCATACTCAGTCTGGCATCAGTGAAAGGAGACCCCCACTATACTGCCAAACTCAGGCTGGCATCAGCGAAAGGAGACGCCACTATACTGCCATACTCAATCTGGATCAGTGTGAGGAGACCCCTGCTATACTGCCATACTCAATCTGGATCAGTGTGAGGAGACCCCTGCTATACTGCCATACTCAATCTGGATCAGTGTGAGGAGACCCCTGCTATACTGCCATACTCAATCTGGATCAGTGTGAGGAGACCCCTGCTATACTGCCATACTCAATCTGGATCAGTGTGAGGAGACCCCTGCTATACTGCCATACTCAATCTGGATCAGTGTGAGGAGACCCCTGCTATACTGCCATACTCAATCTGGATCAGTGTGAGGAGACCCCTGCTATACAGCCTTACTCAATACAAACAACAAAAACATGGGATTAATTACAAAACTTTATTCTGGAATGTTGATATGAAATACTTCAACATAATTGTACAATGTCCACTATTTACAAGTATAAAATGGCCCACCCATCCCAATGATTCTAATGATGATGGTCGGAAACATCTGGCCTTAAATTTTAAAGAGATCCTCAAACAACTTCATCACTGTCAAAGCATTACTCGTAAGTACATGTCATTTCTCAAAAACATGATGTTACATACTAAAAAAATAAAATGTAATTATTCAATTCTTACAATGCTTACAAATTCAAAATTGAATTTAGAATAACTAATATTCCAAATGTATTCCACAATTCCAAAATATCATTTTGCTTTTGTACATATGTATATGTTAGGCATGCTCACATGATGAAGGCAATAAGTATGAGAGAAAATTCAATGATTGAACGGTATATAACATTTAAAATATATCGTAAAATAATGTTCATAAATCTGACAATGATCAATACTAGAACGATCATCATTGATGAAATATTAGGCACTATGTACATCATGACAATTTACACTTTCATTGATATGTCAATTGGGGCATCTATGATCAAACTACCATTTAAATGTACATCAAGCTCAAGCCTGGCTTTCTAAAAGGATGTCATCTAGTTGCTAAATAATGAATATTCTGGTACATACTAACATAACTAACACTACCATAGAAAACATGTTGAAACAAATTTGAATAAGCAACACTATTTAGATCTTTCTGATGGATCAGGGTTTCCATATTGTTGAAAATTGTCTTTGAAGCACCATAAAATATACATTGTTTAAGTGCAGTGGTCTCTTGATTCATCATGCTTATGATCACAAGAAATTTGTTTTGCTAAGAATAAGTAATGATTCTTATGTACATATCAGTCTGGCAAGTACTTCCTGAGCAGCAATGCTCACAAGCCACCTGTGTGGGGTAGGGGGGGACAGGGGAGTGGTTGACAGAGTGACTAAAACAGATCTTCAAAACATGACGATGAACATTCAATGCCATCTGGCAGAAATACACACAGAGCATCATTGCGGTATAAAAGAATATTATAAAAGTTCTTTCAAATGAACATTTGACATCAAAATATCATAATGTCATAATATAACATTAAAATAACAAATGTTTTGGGTTAAAGAAATTCTCCAAATTTTACATAAAACAAATGTCTTCAAACCATTATCAGCAAATCACTGCTAGTCAGAGTCCCTGGTTTTCAAACAAAAGAGGATGAGGCTCGTGCCCCTCCATCCCCACCTTGTGAGTTGCCCGGGTGATCATCACGGTCATACTTCTCATCTCGGTGTGACGGCTTCCTGTCATAGTCCTCATACGCGTCGCGGGCATAGTCATCGTCATCGTAGTACTGGCCCGAGTAGCGGTCCTTCTCACTGTGGTAACTTGGCGGATGTTTATCATTCAGCGATGTCTGGCTCTTCCTCATGCTGTCAGCATCACGGTCATAGTCATAGTAGCTGCAACAACAGACAAACATCAATGTCAGGTCACGCTGTCAGCATCGCGGTCACAGTCATAGTAGCTGCAACAACAGATAACAATCAATGTCAGGTCATGCTGTCAGCATCGCTGTCACAGTCATAGTAGCTGCAACAACAGACAACAATCAAAATCAGGTCACGCCGTCAGCATCGCTGTCACAGTCATAGTAGCTGCAACAACAGATAACAATGTCAGGTCACGCTGTCAGCAGTGCTGTCACAGTCATAGTAGCTGCAACAACAGACAACAATCAATGTCAGGTCATGCTGTCAGCATCGCTGCCACAGTCATAGTAGCTGCAACAACAGATAACAATCAATGTCAGGTCACGCTGTCAGCATCGCTGTTACAGTCATAGTAGCTGCAACAACAGACAACAATCAATATCAGGTCACGCTGTCAGCATCGCTGTTACAGTCATAGTAGCTGCAACAACAGATAACCATCAATTTGTAGAATTTTCCTATTCGGAATATTCTATAAGTAATACGTTACCACTGTTATACCGAGGCTGTTGTCTCCCACAACTGCTGCTATAGCGAAATCTACCACAGAGATCTCAATTACCTCATGCAGCACGTGCGTAGCCACCTAGCTGCCATGTGACACCCTTCACTCTTGTCTCCTGCGAGAGCAAGTGCTCGGCGGACGGACGGGCGGGCAGCAGCCCAGTGGTAACGTATTACTTATAGAATATTCCGAATAGGAAAATTCTACAAATTACATTACATGCCTTGAACTCGAGACAATTGATGTGAAGACCTAGTTCGTCTACGCACCACAGCCCCGAGCTCACCTCCCCCTCTAGATGGGCGCCCCAGCCCACTAGAGAGGCGTCTGTATACAGGTTCAACGTGGCCCGGTAGGGCCGCATAGAGACTCCTGATAAGACATTGTAAGGGAGCGTCCACCACTCCAGATGCGGTCGGAGCCGATCCGGGAGGGCGACGGTCGCACTGTTCACTTCCGTTGCTAACAACTGGATTAAAAACCGTTGCAGCGGGCGGAGTTGCAGACGACCCCGTTCGGTGCAGTCCTGGGCTGATACAAGTAGCCCTAACAGCTGTTCCCAAAAGTGAACAGTCTGTTGCACCGCTAAGACTTTGGCAATCATCGCCTGAATTTTGTGCCACCGGTCTGGGGGGACAAATAGGCGATGGGACACCCTGTTGAACCGACCTCCGATGAACTGCAAGTTCTGAGAAGGGGTTAACTCGCTCTTGGGGAGATTGACAATCCACCCCAATTGCTCCAAGAGCCGACGTGCGAAAACGAGATGGCGTGACAGGGTGTCCGTCATTCGATTTGCTACTAGCGAGTTGTCCAGGTACGCGAAGTACCGGACACCCCTCCGGTGGAGGAACCCCACTATGGGGGTGGTTAACCGGGTGAACAGCCAGGGAGCGGATGAAAGACCGAATGGGAGTACAACCCACTCGTAGTGCCTGCCTTGAAAGACAAACCTGAGATACTTGTGATGATCCGAGTGAATCGGAACATGCAGATAAGCATCCTTCAGGTCGATCGAAGCTAGCCAGTCGGCCGGCATGATCAGTGTTTTCAGGTCCGTCAAGCTCAACATTCTAATCTTGGGCGGTTTGCGCAGGTAGAACTCGTTGAACGATTTCAAGTTGTGAATCATTCTGAGTTCGGCACTGTCCTTCTTGGGAACGAGAAATATCCTGGAGTAAAACCCCGGTGTTATTTCTGGTAGAGCTAACTCCCGAACTGCCCTCTTCTCCACCAACCTGCCTATGGCATCGGCGAGGAAGGGAAGATCGGTTTCCGAATAGAAACCTGCCGACGGGGCAACGGTGAGCGGCGGATTCGCTTTGAGATCAAGCCGATAGCCGTACCGAATCGTGTTGACCACCCACGGGTCGTCGAACACTTGTTCCCAATTCTCCCAGTAAGTCTGGAGTCTGGCTCCCACTGAGGAAAGAGAGGGGGGCCGGAAGGGCTGCGGCAGGCGCAACTGTCCAGGGCCAAGTGACTCGGGTTCGCCTACGGGCCAACCGAAGTTGGCGCTGTCGGCATACGAACCCCTCCAATGAGAGTCACCTGGAGGGGCCCTTGCCGTCCTTAGACGACTTGGGCTTTCCCCAGTTCCCCTTCTTCCCGCGAAAGGGCTGCTGAGAACCCTTACCGGAGCCCTCAGAGCGGGGCTTCTTCCCGGAGGAATAAGGACCCGACCCCTTAGGCCTGCCTAACGCAGCATCCTGGGGCGCGCTCCGCTTCGGAGCGGCACCCAGGCGCCTATGCAAGGACCCCACAAGATCCAGTGTGTGCCGAGAGGCCTCGGCAGACACAGCGGCCTGTTGTTCCTTCAGAACCCCAGGGATCTTGTTATTAAACAGGGTCCGAGCAGACCAAGGCTGCGAAAGGAGCACCTCCTGATTGGCAGCGTCCAACCCTGAAGCAGCCAGATACGACTGGCGCCGAAGAAAATGGCACGTGCCGGAAACAAAGGCCGAAGCCCCGGCAACGTACTCCAGGGAAGCATTCAAACCGAGCAAGCAGTTGTAAATGCGCTGGTCTCGGTCCGTGGGAGAACCTTCGACCAGACTGGCCGCTGCAGCCAGGTATGTGTCTCCGTGAGACATTGCCAGCATGGAGTGTCGAGCGAGGGTGTCCAGCTGTTGCAAGGTACCTTGTGGTACCGTGGCAACTGGTGGGGCACGGACCCCCAAACGCTCCACATGGGCTTCCGCAGAAGGACCAGCCTCGGGAAAGGCAAGGTCATGTACTGGGAAAGACCCTTTTCTCCACGACGGGGGAGGTAACGGGAGACCCCAACCGGAGGCAGCCGTGAAGGCCTTCTCCAAAGAAGGCTTAATCCCGCGCAGCAAGGTTGATGCCAGGAAAGCCTTGTCGGACGTCTCGTCGTATACCTCGGAGGAACCCACGGAACCGTGGATTCCCCGCGGTATCGGCAGGGGCTTTGGCATGTCCTCGAAGAGGTCATACACCATGGCCACGCGGTCCTTAACCGATAGCGGAAGCAACGGTTCGGGGGAAGGACCGGTAACCACGGCAGCCGCCGCCGTACCAGGGGACCCCGCGTCCGAACCCGCGGCCACCGAAGAGGCCGGGGACGGAACAGCCAGCGGCCTATCTTGCGATAAGGCCGCCAGCTTGGAGTCCACAAGTTTCGACAACAATGCGGCGATGGAATCCCCAGAAAGCCCGAGGGCCGCAAGGGGATCCGCCGCAGCCGAGGAGGTGGTACCCACACGGGGACCCCGACCGGACGAACCGGCCACCACAGGGGTGGAGACGGACTGTACGTACAGCCGGTACCGCTCAAACTCCGCAGGCCCCAGACCTTCGCACAGGGTGCACCGGGTTTCCCCGCAGGGAACCCTGCACTGCGGGCAACGATCGTGGGTATCCCGGGACAACAAAAATTTTCTGCACACCCCACAACTCCGAGGAGCAGGGGTAGAGGGGGTGGATACTGGGGACATATCCATGTCAGACATTGATTGTTTGCTATAAACAAAGAACAAAACATGGTTACAACGCACGCACCACAATGATTCACAAACGAGCATTTTCACAAGAAAATAAACGAGCAATGTGAACATATAACATACACATATAACTTTTATTAAAGAAATAAGTTATGTTAACCCCCAAAACATACAAGAACAGGGGAAACGTAAAACACAACGTGCATACGCGAACCCCGCAAGTATATAGAAAAAAGGGCGGGAAAATTATAACCAAGCGTAGCTACCGCAACGCCCCATAAAAGCACAGTTTATTAGAGAATAAACTATAATAAATATCAACAAATCTTCAAGGAACGCTTAAGCAGGAGAAAACACGTCTTGCTAAGCAGACGAAGGAGACAAGAGTGAAGGGTGTCACATGGCAGCTAGGTGGCTACGCACGTGCTGCATGAGGTAATTGAGATCTCTGTGGTAGATTTCGCTATAGCAGCAGTTGTGGGAGACAACAGCCTCGGTATAACAGTGGTAACGTATTACTTAATGTATTATCAGGTCACGCTGTCAGCATCGCTGCCACAGTCATAGTAGCTGCAACAACAGATAACAATGTCAGGTCAAGCTGTCAGCATCGCTGTTACAGTCATAGTAGCTGCAACAACAGATAACAATCAATGTCAGGTCACGCTGTCAGCATCACTGGCACAGTCATAGTAGCTGCAACAACAGATAACAATCATTGTCAGGTCACGCTGTCACAGTCATAGTAGCTGCAACAACAGACAACAATCAATGTCAGGTCACGCTGTCAGCATCGCTGCCACAGTAATAGTAGCTGCAACAACAGATAACAATGTCAGGTCACGCTGTCAGCATCGCGGCCACAGTCATAGTAGCTGCAACAACAGACAACAATCAATGTCAGGTCACGCTGTCAGCATCGCTGCCACAGTAATAGTAGCTGCAACAACAGATAACAATGTCAGGTCACGCTGTCAGCATCGCTGCCACAGTCATAGTAGCTGCAACAACAGACAACAATCAATGTCAGGTCACGCTGTCAGCATCGCTGTCACAGTCATAGTAGGTGCAACAACAGATAACAATCAATGTCAGGTCACGCTGTCAGCATCACGGTCACAGTAATAGTAGCTGCAACAACAGATAACAATCAATGTCAGGTCACGCTGTCAGCATCGCTGCCACAGTCATAGTAGCTGCAACAACAGATAACCATCAATATCAGGTCACAATGTCAGCATCGCTGCCACAGTCATAGTAGCTGCAACAACAGACAACAATCAATGTCAGGTCACGCTGTCAGCATCGCGGCCACAGTCATAGTAGCTGCAACAACAGACAACAATCAATGTCAGGTCACACTTTCAGCATCGCGGCCACAGTCATAGTAGCTGCAACAACAGATAACAATGTCAGGTCACGCTGTCAGCATCGCGGCCACAGTCATAGTAGCTGCAACAACAGACAACAATCAATGTCAGGTCACGCTGTCAGCATCGCGGCCACAGTCATAGTAGCTGCAACAACAGACAACAATCAATGTCAGGTCACACTTTCAGCATCGCGGCCACAGTCATAGTAGCTGCAACAACAGATAACAATGTCAGGTCACGCTGTCAGCATCACTGTCATAGTCATAGTAGCTGCAACAACAGACAACAATCAATGTCAGGTCACGCTGTCAGCATCGCTGCCACAGTCATAGTAGCTGCAACAACAGATAACAATCAATGTCAGGTCACGCTGTCAGCATCACGGTCACAGTCATAGTAGCTGCAACAACAGATAACAATCAATGTCAGGTCACGCTGTCAGCATCGCTGCCACAGTCATAGTAGCTGTAACAACAGATAACAATCAATGTCAGGTCACGCTGTCAGCATCGCTGCCACAGTAATAGTAGCTGCAACAACAGACAACAATCAATATCAGGTCACGCTGTCAGCATCGCTGTTACAGTCATAGTAGCTGTAACAACAGATAACAATCAATGTCAGGTCACGCTGTCAGCATCGCGGTCACAGTCATAGTAGCTGCAGCAACAGACAACAATCAATGGTGGGTCTTAAATGTGAATATGTTTCCAATGTACAGAAACATATTCCAATTACTGTACACCCGACATACTCACACTTGACATACATCGACTGTGTGGCCAGGAATGCCGGCACCCCACCCACGAACTACTCCCACCCACCCCACCACACCCCTGGGACACGGACTCCCTGTCTCAATCCAAATAAAGTCTAAATCCACAAATGTGCATCAATGTGTTACCATAACAACACAGTCCTACCTGTTGTTATCTCGGTCATCATAGTAATCGTTGTTGTAGCCACGGGGCTCTGATCCGAAGTCGCTGGACCGATCCGGGATGCGGGAGGTGTCTGGACAGAGAAGCATCAGAATTTATCTTCTTACATGAGAGTGACTTTCTAAAATCTGTTTGAAGCTTCACTGTCATAATAATTTTCACACAAATAAGGTGTCCTTGCTTAACCCAAATCACATGTCTAATTTCATCATACTGATCACTTTTTCCAGACTGAGATACTAAAGACAATGGTCACGATGGTCATAGAGTCAGTATTACAAAGGGAGGAGAGAGATCATCAGAATGTTTACTTATGGAGGTGATCATGGCAGGAATCTTCACAAAACATCCCCATGCTAACCAGGCAAGGATGCTATATATGTAGGGATGGTGGTTAGTTCATGCTTCAGGGGAGTATCATGCAAGATATCTGACAATTTTGATACACTTGTACACTCTGCACATGTTTTGCTTTGGGTAACATGACTAATACAGATATAATCTGCATTTTTGATAATTTCAGCAATGAAACAGGATAATAAAATTAATGAACAACCACCACTTAAATTACCATAAATACATGAATACATCTTTTGGATCAATAAATATTACAACCTCCAGAAGACTGGGCCTACACATGATTGTAGCCCTAGGACTATTGAAGACTTGAACCATTACCAGTTTAATTTTTCTATACAATGGTTGAAGCATAATTGTTGTTGTGCCAGTAGTGGATACTGTTCACTGTACCCTTTATCACAGAAAACAATTCTCCCTTGTCAACTGTCAGCCTGGACACCCTAGAGTCGGCTATGTCATAGCCAATAGTTATGCCAAATAGAATAAAAATCGTCAGCTCAACAAGAGAATCAGGGTCACTTAACCTCCCTTTACGGTACACAAGGGACATTATTGTGTGAAGATAATTCCTCCTTGGACAAACTGGTCTCACATGATCCACATAAAGAATTCCAAAGTAAAATGCCAAACCAGAGTGAACAGACACAAATGACCTTGAGAAATTGTCATTATGAATACAAGTGTTAAATCAGAAGAATGTTGAGTTATATTTTATTACAGTCATGTGCTTCTAACAGTCATACCAAAGAAGAAACACTGATCAATACCTCAAAATGGGGTAAATATAGCAATAACTTGTTTGTAAGTAATCACTTCAAAAAAGTCTTATTCTCTTAAAATGTTTCACTGAAAGCCGCAACTTAAATCTACAACAGTCAGGGTGGCAATAGAGGAACACAAAGTAATGGCATGTCAAACCTAAGAAGCAATAAATGACAAGTATTAAGAGCATTTGTTACCCTGTGGTGTTATGAGATGAGTCCAGCATCAATGATGGTGCCAACATCCTCACAGTAACACCACGATGTTAAGATAGTTATAATTTGTCGGTTCATAACACATCAAAAGCAGAGAGGGAGAAAACAGCGATGACAATGGATAAAGCCAAGCAAGTTGTTACATGGAAAGAACACATACAACTAGACAGACAAGTATTACCATGCAGATGAGGGGACTATGAGACTAAATTCAAAAATGATTCCATACACCCAAGTATGCAAGAATTCAAGATTAACTCGTTTGTTCTGGAGCTTATTTTAAACACTGATTGGTGAACCAGGCCACAACAAAAAGCCTGTGTTTCGGGCAACATGCCCGATCGTACAAAATACCTCTGACTTATCTGCCTTTTTAGCCAGCTCTAATTTTTTACAATGACCCAAAAAATCAGCATGTCTGTCCATCCGTAATCATTTAATCATGTTAATGGTCTTGAACGAAAATTCCTACCTACCTACCAAATTCAAACAAGAGCATCGCGTTGCCCGAAACAGAGATATTGTTAATGATGGCCCTATTCTCATTTTGTCTCTCAGCCTAACCAAGCATCACGATGGAAGTGTCCTACTCACATGGCTCATGTTCTGAATCAGAAGTATCTTTTCCCGACACCCCTGAAATGGATTTATTTCTAGTTTTCTGATTCCGATAATTTGCATCACATTATCATTTCTGGAACATCACTGTATAATGTTCTTGGAAGAATCGTGATAGTGGATGAAAGGCCTGCTTGGAGAACCTGAAGTACTGTTAGTTGATACAATCACAAAGACAGCTGTGGGTGTATTGATGAGCAGTGATTCCACCATGGTCTACACATGATCCATTCAAATTAAAAATTAAACAGAATAATCCCTGTTTTGAAAAATATAAGGATGGAAAATAATAAGAGAACGTATGAGTTTGAAGAGAAAATCAGTTTACAAGGAGAACAAACTACATTGACCACAATGGTCCTGAGGTGTCAATACGGACCACCAGGCACCATCTGGGCATGCTTCCTATGATCTTCATGATCGTAGCTCTTGGAATATGGAACCATTTCAAGAACAGTTCATCCAGATGACAAACAACCAAGAATATCCAACGCTCAATGGGGCTCAAGTTTGGACTTTTGGCAGGCCAGGGTACCAGTTGGATTTATCTCGCCCGCAGCATATGCCTGGAGACACGAGCAGTGTGAGGACAGACGTCCTGTTGAAGTGAGTGAGTTGGGTTTAACGCTGCTTTTAACAGTATTCCAGTTATATCACAGTGTGTCAGTTTAATGCGGGAGGAAAGCCCGAAGTGATGCAGGTCTCGGACGTTTACCATTTTGGTGAAACCCACGAGCACAGATATGGTGCTGACAAACCCAGAAACATAACCGTGGCGAACCAGGATTCGAACCCACAGTCATAGGTTTCTGGCATGCCCAAGGGATGCGATGACTGGGCCACCCGTGCCCCTATCCTGTTGAAACATGGACACTGCCCTCAACACTTCATCATGGTGAAAGATACCAGGGACCATACCATCAAGGTGAATGAGGTCAGTCCTGATGTTAAATGTGATCTCTACCCACGCCATCAGAGATCCCACACTTTACCTGTCATATTGTTTGAAGGCAAATGGCATGCAACGCTCATGATCTCCTCGCCAAATGGGAACTGACATCTGAATGGTTCAGAAGGAACCTGGACTCATCGCTGAGGATGTCACGACACCACTGATATCTATCTTGTTTGCCATTCTGCCGTACCCACTCTAAATGGGCATTGGTCATTCGGACGTCTACCACAAGATGAAAATTTGTGAAACCACTGATCTGAACCCATTTCAACTGTGCGGTCACTTTGCTCTGAAGTCGGTGTTCACGTGGGAAGAGGATTTAAAGTGATCCCATAAATAATGCGCGTTATTTCACAATTGTCACAAGGGGTTGTTTTGGGCTTCCGTCCATGACGTCTCATCACGTCCCGTTTTTCATAGAGGTTCCAGTCATGACAGCACACTGGCCAACTTCTGACAATCTGCTGCAGCTTGTCACACAGATTTTCAGGACCTAATGCCACCAATTAACTGCCAATACTGTACTGAACTTGTGTATTGTCTTGCTATGTTTCCACAACGAAGACACGGGATGTTGGACTGTGCACATGATTTCCACATACATGCATTTCATTGCTGCAATTGGTCAAACTAATTGCAGTGGCATGTATGCAATCAGTCGTCAATAGTTGCCATATTTATGTCTTCATGAGTTTCTCAAATGTTTTCCATCAATATATTACACAAGACTAGTTTAACATGTGATGATTCTGTTTAATGTCAGTGCTCTTGTATGCACTTAAGAACAAAAAACTCAATATCAGTTTTGCATATGTTTTGTATATAGTAAAGAAGTCACTTCTTGTCAGACATGTCAGATGGGCTGAATGTAAAGTATGTCCTCGGAATTGAAAAGCTTTCCCATCTTCTTTCACCATGGGATATTTACAGCATGCTAAACATTAAGAAGATACAGCACATACTATAATCATGCTAACCCACGAAAATGTTGTCAAAACTGCTTATGCAATCTTTGGCTGAATCTTTGAACGTGCATGTGAATGGAGCACCACACATGGCAACCATCGGTGTTCCAGCATTACACACTCCACACTGAACTACAAGGTACCAATATCCACAGTATGGGTGGCACACTATAGACCTGGTCAGGGTGAAGAGTCTTCCTGAGACAGTCATTTATATAAAGTACTTGTCCTATCCAGCAGTCACTGTAGGATCCTCATCCCTACCTCCGTTGCCTAGACAGTCATGGCCATCCATATAGACAGGCAGTCATAGGGACAGTGACAATTCAGCCCAAGAACAATGCCTGAATAATTTAAAGGGGAGCTCATCACATCTTGGATTAGGAATTATTTTGTTAAGTTGAATAAGATTTCGGCATCAGTATGTTGATGGTACCTGGCAGAAGATACTCATGAAAAAACGTAAATGCAAAACTGATGTTGAACTTCAGACTACAGTAATGAACCTGTGCTCCAATACAACATCAATGCCCAAGGTAGTACAACTATAGGGTTAAACCAAGAATTCTACAAATACAGAGCTGACTTGCACCATGCAAGCTGAAGGGATAGTACAGGAGAGATGGACTTACTTATACCTGTATAAGTAGCTTCTGGATAACGACCCTCTGTCCTGGAGGTCCCAGTTCCTCCCATCTCATAGCCTCTCTTGATGACAACATAGGCGAGGACGACGAGTATGATGAGTAACACGAGAGCTACCAACATTCCAATAAACCAGCCGATGTTTCCCACCAGAGCCGATGCAGCCGCTGCAAGTGGAAGTTGTAACAGTTCAAAGATTAGTCCCATACCACTACACACCTTTATCATCTACCACATTGAGACTGTGTGTGAGGTCACCTAACAACTGCTCAACCCTTTAGTTTACCTCAAAGTGATTGAGCTTTATTATATAATGTCTGTTATCAATCAGATGAACCAATCCAATAAACCTGGTGTCATCAACCGTTAAATATGGCAAAGAGATCACCTAACTAGAACTAATTGTAAGTTAGTGCAATGTATGCTTGCTCAACATGCTAAAAACTATTGTTTTTTGTTGTTTAACGCTGCACTCAGCAATATTCCAGCTATACAATGGCAGTCTGTAAATAAACGAGTCTGGACCAGACAATCCGGTGCTTGACATCATGTGCTTCGATCAAGGCAGTTGGGATACGATGTCATGGATCAACCAAGTCAGCAAGTCTGACCACCCATCGCCTCTTACGACAAGCATAGTCACCTCTTACACTAAAGACTAATGTTGCCAATAAGTTCAGGTGGAGGTTTTCTGATGGGAATTTCTGAAGATAAACATATAACAAATTAATGTCACCCAAACATTGTATTCGTAACAATATGACAATGACTAATCTTGGGTACGGGTCTTGGGTACCCGACCTAAGTACCCGAGTTACCTTCCCAGCCCTATTCAGTACCAATGTATAATTTGATCTAGACACTATAATATGGCTGAAATACTGCCGATGTGACTTCAGTATTATCTCTCTCACTCCATATTGGAACTATTTACAAAGGGATTGAGTGAATTTTATATGCCATAATAAGTTTAACAGAAGGGTCAACAGATTGGGCCTGCATGCAAACCAATACCATGTGAATAAGCAGGTCCCCCAATCCTAGCACCAAAACCAGTGCTCCAACATTGCTGTGTCCACACAGCACCTGCCTTCCCTATTGTTACAACTGCGACTCACCAACTCCAAGGGTGGTGACCTGCTCAATGTACGACTCTGTCCTTTGCTTGCCATTGGTTGCAACAACACGGATGTCATATGTGGTTCCTGACTCAAGGTCTGTGATGTTCTTCCATGTGTTGACGACCTCATCTGTGGACTTCTGCCACTCCGGGGCACCTGCACATCAGTAACATGGGAAACTGTGAAGAATATGCTGGCCACACCATTACAACCCATTCACCTCTGTATTGATGTTGATCTAACCACTGTGAAATATGTATATTAGCACTGTGAAATTTGTATTTATCAGAATCACAAGTAAATAAAAATATTTTTTAATATGGTTTAATATTATCCTGGCTTATCTCTCTCCTATTTCGAAAGGTACTGGAGACAACATCTCAGCCCAGCTCACCCTGACCCTTGCAGGCGCATGCTCCGAAACACATCAGTGGAGAGAGGGGAAGGCCAGGAGGGTACTCATGCGTATGAGTCAGGATAAGACAAAATAACTTTGTATTCGAGATTAAATCAGCATGTCTAACTCACAACAGAATTGTGAACATGCCACTGTCTCATCAACTTCCATCATTTCCTTGTCATCTTCATATTACAGGTGTATCATGGTTATCCTCCATTTGGATTTACCAACCACCCTAGCATGTAACAGTGCTTTTACTTTCATAACAACATATTTCCCTTATACCTAAACAAATTTCAGAACAAACATTTCGAGTTGGAGACAGGAATCACCAACACCTGTGGACTAATGGTTCTGCATATTTACCACACACCTTGCAGGAATCACATCAATAATGACAAGTAGTTATCCAAGTCCTAGTTTCCGAGCTGAATACCTCTGAGTTGGTCCTTACAACACAGTGAACAGGTAGGGTGTAACCAGCACTACAAAGGGACAAACACGAGCTGATTCTCTTATTCCCTGTTGGTGTCAGGAATGATGTCCACTGACAGAGATGCCATTACCTTCCTTCCTGTACTCCACGAAGATGACAGTCCCCGACCGAGCGTATGGGTTCACCCACCACGTCACGTTGATGTTGGTCTCCCCAATATTGGCAATAGTGTAGCGCGGGGCCTCCGGATCTGAAACACAAACAGGGCGATTAGTCATCAATAGAATGACAATAACTTGGCTACTAATCATTAATATAAATACAAAAGAACTTTGCTATCAAATATCCGCATAATAACAATGACAAACACATTAGGCATAAGTTTTCATGACATGTCTTTTACTCAGTGTTGTTATTTTCTAATAATTTCTATTACCATGGTTCAGTAGGCAGGTGAGTGTAAAGTGTTAAGAACCTACTTCCAGCTCTCGATGTTGTCAGCTCAATGAAGTATCCATCCCCACGACCCTTGGAGGTACGTGCCCAGATGTACACTCGGTACTTTGTGTTGGGAAGGAGGCCACTCAGGATCTCGGATGTCTGGAAGCGATTGCTGATCTGGGGTTCTCTGTCTTGCATCTTCCCAAGGTCAAGGCCAGACACTGTTCAATAGCAACACTTACTGGGTCATCTTCCAAACTACCACTTTTCGTCATTGTCAATTAGTGTTAGATAAAAACATTTTGATTTACAAGTAGCACTATATTTGTAATAAAAGCACTTATTCCTGCTTTAAGTAGATGAAACTAGCAGAACAAAACACAGGCTGCTCTTTGGCGATAGTTCTTTTGTAGCCATTCCACTAGAGGTAGATATGTAACAACTCTTCAGTCAATTAAAGTCCTGCTCAGTGACAGATGTCCATCAATCCATTGTCAATGTTCACCATTTTCATGGATTTTGATAACAATAACTTACAATATGTTGAAAACAAGCTCACTGTTCACTACTATACTACTCTTCAGCAGCATGTACATACAGTAAGAACAGGTCAATACCTGTCTGGTAACCCATGTCATATCCTATGATTTCTCCATTTTCATCCATCGGAGAGCCCCACTCCAGGTTGAAATGATTGTCACCAATGTTGCGGAACTTGAAGAACTCAACTGGACCAGGAACTGGAATAGGTTTCATACTTGGAGGTATTGCAAGAATCAAGTGAGCATCATACATCATTACCAAACTACAAACTGTTTTCCACTCACATTTAACATGGTCAAGGGTATCAAGGGCACAGTTTGCTTATACTGATAAGTAATTCAGTGATAAGAAATGAGACCAAAAAAATAATCTCAACTCCCTTTTATGATGAAAAAGAAATCTCTGCCTCTAAAAGTGATGAAAAAGTTAACATTACTCTACCCCTGCTCCACTCCCACCAATTAAATATCAAATAGTTAGTTCCGAAGAGAGCTTTCCACAGCCTACCTCCCTCATCTGTGCGGAACTGTACAATGTCGGAGGGCCGTCCTACATAGTAGTTGTTCATGACAGCAACACGTGCCTCCAGATACGTGTAGGGGAGAAGGTAGTCCACCGTGGCAAAGATTTGATTACCAATACGATTTGCTTCCACTTCCTCCCTGGTTATGTCCCATTCTCGCATCGTGGTCTCCCGGAGATTACGGCGCCACATCTGCACCTGACATCACAACAGTCAGATTATGTACAAGACAGGTTTTCAGATATCAACTCACAAAACACAAACTTAGCAAACAGCTGTCATCATCTTGACATATATAGTACAACCTCTGTCGAGTGTTAAAAGGGTTGAGAAACTACAGGAGATAATGTAAGCACAACATCTGTGGAGTACTGACGGAAAGTTTGAGAAACTACAGGAGATAATGTAAGTACAACCTCTGTCGAGTGCTGATGGAAAGGTTGAGTATATACAGGAGATAATGTAAGCACAACCTCTGTCGAGTGCTGATGGAAGGGTTGAGAAACTACAGGAGATAATGTAAGCATTACAGAAGGTTTTGAGAATCTGCACTAGACAAATAAAGACCCTTTTTTTACTTCCTTTTTAAACACAACTTAAGTTAACATGTCCACACCTTCCCTGGGTCTACTGGCCCATGAAGATCCAGGGTAGAATAAGTCTTCAGCAACTCATGCTTGCAGTAAAAGGCGACTATGTTTTTCATAAGAGGCGACTATGGGATCGATTGCGTAGATCGATGCTCATGATATCAATCACTGGATTGTCTGGTCCAGACTCGATTATTCACAGACCACCGTCTTATAGCTGAAATATTACTGAGTGCGGTGTTAAACAACAAACAAACAAACTCTGGCTGTACTTACTTTAAATCCTCTGAACTCTCCATTTATTGAAGTAGCCTCAACATCGACAACACCCATGTCAAAGTTCCAAGACAAGATGGCCGTGGTGTCCTTAATCTGTGTTGCCTGGAGACCTGTTGGCACTATACCAGGAACTGCAAGACAACACAAATTGTCTATAGTCATGGATATTTCAGTAAAGTGTGGAACCATAACATTCTGACTGTGCATTTTATCATGATAGAAGGCAAGAACAAAGCACTAGCATCTTATAGACAATAGATAGTGCCACCCCCTTGGTAAGAGCCTTTGCAGCAGCAGACACAGAGTTACCTTACTGTGTCCAGGGAACTGCGGGGCAATGCGAGTCAGTAGCAATACATTTGAAATAATTCTGTCACTGGCCCCATTAATTAAAAAAGTTTAGTAACATTCAACAAGGTAAGTGCCATTCAAATAACACTATTTACATATGTAGCACTTGTAAACAGCGGCCATCGATCTGTCGGCTGCGGTTCAATCTTCCATGTCTTCCAAGTGCTACTAATTGTGGAAGTCACATTGACATCGATCTTCAGAAGCCTGAGATATTTACAACTCATCATAAGCAACAGAGGTTCTGTTTGGTCAGTTCCAGGGGGTATCAGAATGACATGGGGCAGGGGTGAAAACTCACTCTCTTCTCCTGAGTAGCCAGTGATAGTGACAGCATCTTGCAATGCTTCTCCAATACTGTTCTTAGCTTTCAGTGTGATCTCGTAGGGCCTGTAGACATCGGAGGTGGCATATGTGAAATTATATCTTGTCCAATCATCTATAGGATTTGTGACCATCAAGGAGTCCGGATCTCCCTGTCGTTTGAACTGCAGGATGTAATGGAAGCCTTTGTCATTCTGCTGGATCTGGGGCATGGCCTGCCAAGCACAAAACGGTGGGACTTAGTGAGACATGTTATGTCCAAGCTATGTACAACAGAAACTGTCTCTCGACACAGTGAGTGAGTGAGTGAGTGAGTGAGTGAGTGAGTGAGTGAGCATGGTCTTACAATGTCCCAGCAATATCACATGTGTGATGTCTCTGCCACACAACCCAGATGAACTACACTGCAGGTTGAGAAACATGGAGAGACATAGTGACCTTGCCTTTATCAATGATGTAGTTAATATCAGTGGAGCAACAGTCAGTAGTGATACAGTATGCCCATATGATAAAGCTCATAGTCCTAATTCTGAGGTGAGGTGAGGTGAGGTGAGGTGAGGTGAGGTGAGGTGAGAGTTTTAACATCGCAGTCAAGATATTCCACTTATATAGCGATGTGTATGCACCTGTGTGCGTGCTAGTGTGCCAGTGTGTGTGCTAGCGTGCTAGCGTGCTGAGTCCGACAACATCTTAAAAAAAAAGTATAGAGAGAATCTCACCAGGGTGTCTTTTCAACAATAATTAATTAAACTATCACAACTCCAAGCTTGCCAAGGACGTTTACTAGTGTTGGATCACACAATGAACAGGTTCTATTTATTATCACCCTTGGGGATCTATCTAGGATAACAAACTATGTGCTATTGGCAGAAAAATTGGAAAGAAAAAGGTACTTTTGTTCAAAATTTGGGATTGAATTTATGAAAAGAAGGACGTTAATAAAATCACAAATTTTTAACAAAAGTACCTTTTTCTTTTAAACAAAAATTTAATTTTTTTTTTAAAATACCTTTAAATTTACGAAAATAAGGACGTTAATAAAGAGGTATTTTAACATTTTAAAATTGTTTAATTCCAATTTGGGAATTGTTACTGGCATCTGCTTCAAATATTGGGCCGAATATGGACCTCTGAGCAGGTCTAGATAAATCCTTCACTCTGGAGCATTAATTATTGTTAGACTTTTTAATTTGAAAAACAAGTTTATGTGTCAGACTATCTTAAAATTAGGTGAAATGGGGGTGCAAGAAAACATCAAGACGCACTTACACAATTCAACTGAAACTTTGTCAACCTTAGCATCTTTTTGTTTACATGTTTGGATTTTTCGGTCAACAAGGATAATATGAAAATGCATTGAATTTTTTTTTTTTTAAACAAGGGCATCAAGAACTCACAGTCCATTCAATATGGAGTTCACCCTTCCTATCACCAATAGTCCGGAGATTTTGTGGATGTGTGAAAGGTCGAGCTGGATTGGTTCTGCAAATCTTGACAGTGGGGAAACTTGGGTCACTTTCCCCAATCTTGTTGTAGGCCAGGACGCGGAATGTGTAGTTAGAGTAGGGGGACAGCGTGATATTAGCACTGGTCTTCTGGGACTCCACTTTCATGGCATAGATCCACTGGTCTGGATTAAATGTGGTGTTGTACTGCACAATGAAGTACTGAACAGGGGCGTTGTTGTAGCTGCCTGGTGTCCAGCGGATGGTGGCATTGCCCTGCTCGCAAGATTCTATCCGGGTATTCACTGGGGCATCAGGTCGGTCTGGAATAATTCAGGAGAATGTAGTTAGAGGAAATTAAGATTAGGAATTATGCCTTGTAAATCACTGGCCGCTATTTGACTCATTCCAGTGATGGACCAAGAACTCTGAAATAGGAATTCCTCCATAGACATTCTTAGTACCTTTCATTTACTGTGGGAGTAAACTGTCATATTGTCCCATGTTGTAATTTTGCACAGAGTTGCACCCATGAGCCATACTTCTCTCCTTTGTGAGTTCAAGATGTTTATGGAAAATTTGTTGTCCAATCTTTTCATGGCTCTCCCCAAATTTGTGTGTAGTTCTTAAATGGTTTCTTTATTGTTACGAACCTAATGTCTGTCCTAGTCCTCCTTACCTTTGACTGTAAGCATGGCTGAAGCAGTTGATTGGTCCAGACCGTTGGTAGCTATACAGGTGTAGGTGCCAGAGTCACGGACGATGGTGCCGCTGATGGTGAGTGAGTTGTCCTGGTTGTTGGTGGTCATTCTCTGGTCATTGGCTGTGATGTCCTTGTTGTCCTTCATCCACTTGATCTTCAGGTTCTGGACCTCCTCTGGGTCAGTCGTCCCCGAACATGTGAACTTGGCATCCAGCTGTGCATTCACTTCCAGGTCAAGAGGGCGTTGCTCAATCTGAGTTTTACGCCTCACCATCAAAATACCACTAGCATTCTGACTGCCATATATGTTTTCAGCAGCACAGAGGAAATTCCCAGCATCAGCCAACACCACCATCTGAAAAACAAGGAAATGGTCAAGGTGAAATACAAAAACCTTATTGTTGACAACACTCTCAAATTTGCACCTCTTGCACACAATAAACACTTCAGATCTTAAACAGATGTTCTCTTCACCGTCAACTATCTATCACAGTTGTGCAAATAGTGGTGGTATCTTAGCACCCTGACCTCTTGTACATGTGCAAGAAGAGGAAATGCCACTTCTTTCCAACTTTAAACATCCTAGGTGACAGAATATTGGGGAGGTGGGGGGAGTACTCCTGATGTAATAGAGATAGTATTCCTTGAATTATTAACAATGATAATTTTTGTTTGATAATTCTTGCAAATACCTTACCTGTATTATATCATAGCCAGAATACAGAGAGGGAACTGGTGGGCTCTGGCATCTAGCAATCCCTGGATAGTTTTTAAACAGTCGGCTGCATTCAGAGAGAGACAGAACCCAAATACCGTAATCTGTATGTTCTTTCCCAAATCAGCTCCTAGGGCGCTTCCTAATTGTTCTAAAACAAATTTCCCTAGCTGTTCTGATTAATATAGGTGCACACACACTCAAAACACCTCAATATGCCCCAAATCGGAATCATGCCAAGGACATTTGCAAATACTTGATAAAAATCCATTAAGCCACCCTGACACTTGTAAAATTTTGGTCCCTGCAATGCCGCGCAAGGTGTGCCATTTCGGTGGTACGCAGCAGAGCGTGGAGCCGCGTTTGCACCCTGTTCACGCACTGTACACGCATAAGTTACGCAATGTCTATGCAATGCACGGCAAAAAATGGGCCGCATTGACACGCAATGGCACGACTTGTTTACGTATAGGTTAAGTATTGTTCGCACATTGTTCACGTCTTCAGTACCGCAATGTCCCGCAGTGTCACATACGACACGCATAGTTCCTGCTGTTTCCTGCATCTCAACGCATTGCCCCGACGACTTCGCGCATGCGTGAAGTCGTCGTGGCAATTTTTGGTCACGCTTTGTCCCGCTTGGCGGCACGCTTCAAATCCCGCTGTTGGTGTATGTATATAAACTCCAAATAGAAGAGATGCTTCATTCCTAGACTCATTGTGGACGATACAACATGCTGAATACCAGAGACACTGCTATTGCAGAACAGAGAAGGTGTCTTTATCCGGCAGCTGCAGGACTATTACTTCTTGAAGAGCAGGAGAAAAGGCAGCAAGAGCAAGAGGAAGAGCATGAGAAAGAAGAAGCGACAACCCTAACTAGAACAAGGAAAGCAAGGACAGTGTGGGTTAGGGAATGGTTGGCTAGAAGACATGAGTTCAGACATTATGATCAGCTATTGACAGAACTCCATAAGGAAGATCCCAGAGGCTACAGGAATTACCTGAGAATGACACCTGACCTGTTCCAAGAGATGGTGGAGAAGTTAACCCCTCACCTTAAGAAAGAGACCACATTCATGAGAGAACTGCTTGAAGTTGGACTCAAGCTGGCTGCCACCCTCCGTTTCCTAGTCACTGGAAATTCCTATCCAAGTCCACAGTACAGCTTCAGAGTTGAAGTAAGTACAATCTGCAAGTTCTTACCAGAGGTGTGCAAAGCCATCATTGAAGTCTACAAGGACGAACTGCTCAGCTGCCCCAAAACTCAAGAAGAGTGGAAGGAGGTTGCTGAGATGTTCAGCTCCAGATGGAACTACCACAACTGTCTGGGGGCCCTGGACGGCAGGCAAGTTGCTATGAAGAAGCCACCCAAAGCAGGCTCCCTCTATTATAATTACAAGGGCTTCCACAGCATTGTACTCATAGCAGTTGCAGATGCTGGGTATAAGTTCTAGTATGTTGATGTTGGGGCAGAGGGTGGTGCCCCATTGAGCCAGTCCTACTGTCTCTTGTCATACAACTGTGGGTAGTCTTTTACATATTCTGCTAATTTCATGGTACCAACATCTGTCCACTTATACTCAGGAATTTATTCCTTGGACACTCTGATTCTCTTCTTCTGTTTTACTGTGGGCTCTTCTTCACGTGACAGTTCTATTTAAAGCCCCATTCACATAGACAAAATTTACTCATGTAAGCAAATTTACTCATGGAGTATATTTACTCATGTAAGCAAAAGTATATTTACATTGCGTTCACATGAAGTTTATGCAAGGCAGAAGTAAACATCATTTCATAAATAAATTGTGGACTTTTATCATTTGAGGCCATGTCGCTGTCGAAGATAGTCAACCAGAGGTGAAAGAGAGACTTTCCATACTTTCTTAAGCCCCACTCACATGGACAAAATTTACTCATGTAAGTATATATACTCACGTAAGTAAAAGCGTCCATGTGAATGGGGCTTAAGTCTCTGTAAAAACTTCAAGTTGTGTCTGTGGAACAACATCCACACTTGAGCTTAACGTACGCGACCTATGCGTGAGCTGGGCGTTCCATGATTATGTGAACAACTCGTGACAACACCCTATCGACCGCACGATCACTCCGCGACACGCTCGAATGCGTGAGCGCGGTGCGAACAGACGCGACCACCTCGTTGACAGTTCGTGACCCATGCGTGGCATGGCGTGTCAGAGTGTGTAGTGGATTCCCATGGCACGCATTGACACGCACCGTCGGCAGTGTTCGCGCCGAGTTCGAAAAGTGTTCATGCATGGTTCATGCAAGTGGCACGCCCATGGCACAAAAAATTGATGCGTGCCAAATTTTTGAACATTTTGAAATTCTCTCTACGACATGGCACGCACCCCCGCACCCTTCACACACACCTCACGCTCGTTCCCGAAGACTTTAATCATTGGCACGTCGAAGTGCGAGCCATTGGGGGAACGAAAATTGGCAAGTGTCAGGGTGGCTTTACGGAGGTGCCCTCTCCCCCATTATCGCCTCCATCTCTGCACTAATCTCCTTTGTACTTGAGCAATTCTCTAGAGAAACAGAGTTGAGGCGTCAGTCTGGGAGGAAGCGTCAGACAGTAATAATTTCACAGGGTGGTCCTCCGGTTTCTACAACTAGGCCAGTTTCTTTTGACTGCCTCCTTTCTCGTCAACATGCATAGTCCCACATCCCAATATCATACAGCACACCACACGTGCACGTGCAGGTGGGGAGGCTGTCAACATGCATCGTGCAGGTCTCCCACTATCATACAGCACACCACACGTGCACATCTGGGATCCAGCCAATACCATTACCACTTGTGTAATCTTATTTTCTTCAGCCAGATAACATCTGGGATACTAATTACATGTGGTACTAACTACTAAATGACTTTATCGTGCGTATCCAAACCATTGGCTAATTATGCCCGTAACCTAATCACCCCTTGTAAATGAATCATCCCCGGGTCAGCACCTTGCACCGTGCCCGGGGCAACAGATCCCAAGCAAGGGTCATCCCTCCTTTGTTACATCCTATAGTCCACCATTTGTACACCGTCTCTCTTCAAGTACACATGTGTTTCACTGTATCTAATCGCTTTCGCTTTGTACGTTTTCGCTGCCAATAACGCTTCGAACACCATCTATTTCAGGACTCGTCGTATCGCATTTATATCGCCCTACTCTCTAATTTCACCCTCGGGACATTTTACACTTGTGGATTACCAACTCACCACCTCGACCTTCCGTGATGCCTCCCAAGAGAAGAGCAGCCATCAACCACAGCTTGTGAGGGGAGCCAAGCAGGCTAGGACAACCGGTAGACAAACCCCGGGAGTACACATTGTACTCTGGTAGATCTACCAAGGTAAACGAGCAACTGAAAAAAATACTCCAGTTGATGGAACATTCCGCACCCGGCCCGGTTAGCGCAAACCAACAGGTAAGGCTTGGTTAGTTCTCCCACAATATCGCCCTACATAGGGAGAATCCCTGATGCTCACAACAAGGCTGACGGTGACGCGGCTTGGCCAGCCAATCAGAATGCAAGATACAGGGATTACCTATCCTTCCGTACAGATGGAATAGATGCACACGCCAAACAACAGGTGAGGGAAAAATTCTGGCGTGGAGAGTTCGTTGACCTTGGCACAATCCTAACAAACACCAAGGAAAGCCACGAGGTTGGTACGATAACCAGGGCGTATGATTCCTCAGGTAAGATAATTTTTAAACCAATAAAACAGCAACCAAAGCACCTGTCCCTGGCAAGCTGGACTTCAACTTTCCACATTTTCATGTGTATATATGTTAGTAGGCACTCCGAGGTCCGCACAACCCAGGGGTTGCTATCCTACATGGAAACCATAAGAACGGTGGCACTTCAATTTGGGGGGGGATACCTGGTCAACCTACGACCAACAATTCCGACACAGAATGTCAAGGGACCCCTCACGCCGCTGGGACAACATTGACGGGTAGAGTACATGGTCACACAGCTGGTACAACAAGAGTCAGGCGGACAGGGCGCAATTACACAGGGTTACATCGCCAGTAAGGTATGCTGGGATTTTAATAAATTTGGTTGTAGCAGGCACAACTGTAAGTACACTCACAAATGTGGTAAGTGTGGCAAAAAAAATTACAAACCTGTAGAGGTTATGAATTCTCTGATGAAATCCTGCTTGGGGCACTTATTGCATTTTCCTTGCTCAAGAAAATCTACATGACATAGTTGTAACCATTTTCCTTAATAAAAAATGTTACCACACAAAAAACTTCGTTTTTGTATGATATACGACCACCCTTACGGGGCCTCACCCCCCACGGCGCCTCACGCCAGGGGGAGCAACTCTCACCCAAATCACTTTCCATATGTCAAATGCTGATGGAATGTGGGGAGGTGGGTGGCCATGCCCCAAGGAGGATTTCATCAGAGAATTCATAACCTCTACAGGTTTGTAAAATTCTCTTTCAGATTAAATCCTCCTTGGGGCACTTATTGCATCAAGACAGACTCCCAAAGATAATCTAGGAAGTGGCATCCGTCAGCAACAGGCGTAAATAAATACATCGTATTTGATTATTCAACAGAATAAAATATAGAGTTCAATAAATGGAACCAACCTTATCGTGAGGCACCACTGTCGAAAGGCGGGGACTAGAGACAGGGCATGGTGGACCATATATTATGATAAAGCCTGTTTTTGCGGCTTGTCATAAGTTGAGAACTCGAAACACCCCCCACCCCACCCACACTTTTTTGAACAAGTGATAAAGGGGCGTAGATCACGAGAGACTATAACCCGCGCTGAGCTAGGCCAGAGGGTCCCCGAGGATCGAAGGAGTGCGTGTGCAAAATACGAGTATTATCGAGTAGAAAGGACTGATATTTATCGACCGCAGAAGATAAAATCCGGACCATTACTGAGCAGTATAACTGGAGGACTGTATAAAATCTCGAATGCTCAATCGGCTAGAGATTAGAACTTTGCCCAGTTCGGAGAACTGACTGACCAAACCGAGCACGCTCGCTTGAGTGGTAATGTTTGATGAACGTGCTCGGCTGGCTCCAAATAGCCGCGGAGCAGATCTCCTCAATGGGCAGAGCCGTGGCGTACGCTCATGACGTAGCCACTGCTCTAACCGAATGAGCCTTCAACCTGGTAGGGGGGTCCCTACCTGTAAGCGTATACGCTGTACAAATGGTTGAAACTATCCACCTCGAAATAGATTGTTTGCTCGCAGGTGAGCCAGCCTTCCTAAGGCCGTAACAGCAAAATAGTTGGTTATCCTTACGGATACCCATAGTTCTGCTGATATAGGCCTTGAGGGTCCTGCGGACATCCAAGACATGAGCATTTCTTGCAGTGGTCCCCGAAGAGGAAGGCTGTGAAAGAGCAGGTAGCTCAATAGGAGCCGTTCACGTGGAAGGCGTGTGTGAGTCCGGTAGTCGAAAACTGACTGTCCCGGTGGAGGACAGTTATTTCGAGAGCGGCTGACATAACACAAATGTCGCCTACCCATCTGCCGGACGTTACCGCCACAAGGAACGCCGTCTTCCAGCTCAACAGCTGAAGAGAGAGAGACGACAGATCCCAAAGGTGTCCAAACAGGTAGCACCCTGATATCGTGAGAGTCGCACCATAGTAGGAACTGCCACGTCTCTTGGCGAAGCGACGGAGACGCCGTCCCCCCCTGCTTCCGGATGTTAGTCATCGCCGTTTGGTTGTCCATCTCTAGACGAACCACTTGGCCACGAAGCAGATCCGGGAAGCGTTGGAACACCAACCTGACTGCTCTCAGTTCTAGCACATTGATATGCAGTTTGATCTCCTGCTGGGACCATAGTCCCGAGGCAGTGTGATAATTCAGAACGCCTCCCCAGCCGGAGAGTGACACATCTGTTTGAACTGTGAGAGACGGAACGGGAGTGTTGAGGGGGAGCCCCCGGGACAGATTCCCGACCTCGGTCCACCACTGAAGGTGTGTAATGAGCCACTACAGAGTCTCGAGATCATCCGAGTTCGCCCAAAGTCGACAGAGTGCTTGTTGAATGGGACTCATTCTCAAGCGCGCCCGCCAGACCACATCCACTGTCGCCGCCATGTTGCCCAGTAACTGGTGTACGAGCAGTGTGACTTACGCATAAGGAACTAGATATCTTGTGACAGAGATACACGTCCTCTCACCGTGTTGAAATTCGCCCCTAGGAAGACTAGATTCTGAGTAGGGCTCAGATCTGACTTCTTGAGATTGACTATCCACCCTAGAGTAATCAGAATGTCTATCACGTCTTGTGTAGCTATCTGACTCAGGGATTGCGATAGAGTTCTTAGTAACCAGTCGACGAGGTACGGATGGCAGAACCGACCTTTCGACCTGGCCACTTGGGCAGGAATCAACATCAGCTTGGTGAACACCCTCGGGGCCGTGGAGATCCCGAATGGTAGAACCCTGAACTGATAACACCTCCCGTCGAAAGAAAACCTCAGGTATTCCTTGAACTCGGGGTGTATGGGTATGTAGAGATAGGCGTATTTTAGGTCTATTGACGTTAGCCATTCTCCTGTCTCGACAGCTGAGATCACTGTTTAGGGACTAGGAAATAAGTTGAGTAGAAGCGCTCGCTTTCCTGTCCCTCGGGACCTGGTTCGATCGCAGCTTTCATAAGAAGTGCGTCAACCTCGGCACGGAGGAATTCCGCCTTCTCTCGGGTAGCAGGCACAGGAGTGTGCTTTATACCAGAGAAGGGGGGCAGATGATGTTTCCACCGAGGCAAATGGCCATCCCTTAAAGTGGACGGGGTCCGGGGATTGTGATGTAACTGTCTCCCATTCCTTCAGGAATAGAGCCAGTCAGCCGCCTATGGGGACATCTGGCTTGAGGCAGTGAACCCCGGCTGTCGGCAGTTCGATAACTTGCGACTGTGGGTCCACCCGGGGCTCTTCGGGCGCTAACCCATCGGGTTCCCGGCCCCGCGAAAAAGCTGCTGGCCTCGACCAGCTGCCTTGCCCCGGCCCCTGCCTCTCTTGCTCCTCCCGGCGCCCTTACCTGAAGGAAGCGGCTGCTTCCAAGCAGGTGTGGACTTCTGACCCGGTGCCTCAGCGTAGGAGGGGTCAAGTGGAGAGGCCCGCTTACGTGGTTTTAACGCTTGTACCTCCAACAAGGCCTTAGAGTCTTTGATGGAAGTATGGAAGTTGAGCGGCCTCTCGGACCACCTGCTGAGCCCCAGGGAAGAGGGTGGCACCCATCTTATACGGCAAAGCAAGTAGGTCTTGGCGTGTGGAAGTCGAGTATTTAGATACCGACATCCACAGCCTGCGCATGTCCATAACAGCGCATATCATCTGCGAGGCACAGCTACAAATAGCGCCCCGCGCAAGATGACTGAACTTCCATTAGTTGCGCGGCCAACTCCGAAGAGTCGGCCGGCCCCTCTCCCGCTAACTCCCTCTGTACAGCCGACAGATACGCAGAGTGTACGGACACACGGAGCTGTTGGCATGCATAATGATATTGCTCCTCAAAGCATATGTAAGCAGCCTTCAACTCGGCACCGCACGCAGGAAAGGGGGGCAATCGCCGGCCCTGCTTGAGCTTAGTCAAGTTGGGGGTCTCCGACTCTGGCATGGGCGCAGCCACCTGAGGCAGTACCTGGACAATCCTGTCCCGCACGTGCCTCTGCTGACTCTGGCATGGGCGCAGCCACCTGAGGCAGTACCTGGACAATCCTGTCCCGCACGTGCCTTTGCACCCGGCCCGAAGCCGAGTCCCGGTGCCGAGTCCCGGTGCCGAAGTGCCGGGGGTTCAAGGGAACCTACCTGGCACTGGGTTAGGTATCCACTAGTGGAAGCCTCGGCCTTGGAAGAGGCGTCTGGCTCCCCTAGGGAAAATTGTGCGTCGGTAGTCCACGGCCCAGGGCCTGCCACCCCTCTGCTGGGGAGCGACCTCGAGCCGGAGCCGAAGCTCGGTATCGGATCGTCCCCGAGACCAAGGGAACCCACCTGGCTCCGGGCTAGGTATCCACTAGTGGAAGCCTCGGCCTCGGAAGAGGCGCCTGGCTCCGCTAGGGAAAATTGTGCGTCGGTAGTGCACGGGCAGGCACCCGCCACCCCTCCGCTGGGGAGCGACCTCAAGCCGGAGCTCGGTCTCGGATCGTCCCTGAGACCAAGGGAACCCACCTGGTTCCGGGCTACGTATCCACTAGTGGAAGCCTTGGCCTCGGAACAGACGTCTGGCTCCGCTAGGGAAAATTGTGCATCGGTAGTGCACGGGCCGGTGCCCGCCACCCCTCCACTGGGGAGCAACCTCGAGCCGGAGCTGAAGCCCGGTCTCGGATCGTCCCGAGATCAAGTGGTCTGCCTCGGCCGACGCCGGGCATAACACAAGGTCTCAAAGCCGCGTCCGCCGTCGACAACGGGGAAGGCTCAGCCCATAGCTCCTGCCGGAGCCGAGACTTCACCTCCTCCATCATCAACGCCATCTGCGACTTAAGTAACGCAGAAAAGTCTGCCAAAGAGAGGGTGCAGCGCTTACTACGGGGACCCTCGAGCCTTCTCCCCCGGCCCCCGGAGAGGGAGCAGGGGAGACAGTCTCGGCAGCTTTTTTACCCTTTTTGGATGGGGGGGGGGGAGGTCTTAGCAGATCTGATATCTACCCCGCCTTTAATAGACCTCTTTAAAGTGGAGCAAGTCAACTTTTCTCTTTTTGGGGGCCCGGGGGGTAAAGGCAATGCATATCGGGCATGACCCATCGTCATGCCCGTCCTCCGCCAGACATTTTAGGCAGCGTAATTTCTGAGGTGGGCGGGAAGGGTATTAAAGTGTATCAGTGCGATATAAAGATCGACCAAACTGACATTCTTAGGGCTGGAAATTGACACCAATGCAATGCAGATCAGAATCCCTGGCAGACTACATTATTGACCTTATAACGTGTGACAACAGAATGTGTGCAGCCCTCAACCTTGGAAATGAAATGATTTATGGCACTCAGCTGATGACAAGATGGCAAGATACTACCACTTGCACAACTGTGATGGATAGCTGACAGTGAAGAAGACTTCTGTTGAAAATCCGAAGATGTTAAAAGTGCAGGATTTATGGTAATGAAGTAATAGAGTAACATATCTATGGCAAGTGTTTTTAATTCAAACAACGTAATTACCTCTATGTGTAAGTCGCCGTTGAGTAAAGTCCGATACCGCCCTCCCGTGATCTGCCGTCCCTCTTTGAACCAGGTGATCTGGGGGTCAGGCTTGCCGGTGGTACGACATGTCAGGTTGGCAGACTGACTCTCTGCAACCACCATCTGGTCAGCTGGGGGCACCATGATAGTCGGGGCTTCGGCTGGCAAAGAAATCAACATGCCTCGTGATGATTATCACAATAATCTATATACCCCTCACGTTACACAAGCACAAACTCAAAGTGCCAAAGTGAGACAAAATGGTCAGAGCCATTTTAATATAAAAAATGCATCTAATTCAATAAGGCAAAACTAACATGAGATCCCCTTCCTCCTTATTGATCCTATTCATATCAAGTCACCTTTACAATGCTTATAGTCTGGAAGTTAATCTAAGGTACCGACGTTTACTATATCTGAAAAACTAGTGGACCTACTCCAGTCAAAGTTGGTATGAGATTATTAGACAGGCATACATAACTGGATATTACATTTAAAGACAATCGGTGCATGAATAAAAAATCTGTCTATTTAGCTATCACTATATTTCATCAACAACCAGACCTGTTCGTCACGGGTGGAACAAGCATTCTTTCGCACGGCAAAATAAGACCGTCAAGCTTGCCGACGTCAAGCAGATTGTCTTGAAAGGAATGGGAGAAATTACAGATGTACATTGGGCAAACTGTGTCCAACATGTTATCAAAGTTGAGGAAGAGTATTGGAAACAAGACCAGATACTGTCCAGCCTGTTGTTGTTCATTTAGGTGACAGCACAGACTCCAAAACTGACGACTAGGGCATTTCGTGGGACCAAGAATAGTGCAATACATATACCCCTGTTTCACTACGACATGTAATAGCCCGAATTACCACTGATATGAATTCTTACATATTCGTACATATTCTTAAATATATCTTATTTGATTCCCAAACATTCTTGTGGTTCGTGGGATTCGTGAGAAAAAATTTGTTTATCAAAGAATTTCTAAGAATCGTCAAGAATTTCAGGTTCGTGCTTTGTAGTACATGTCGTAATCGGATCTTGTCCACTTTGTTCAATTCTTGGCTCAGAATTTGATTCTCTTTCACCCGAAACAGCCCCGAAAGTCTCGAATCATCTACGAAAATATTAAAATATAAAAAAAATATCAATGATTTGTCTAAATGAATAATTACGCATGATATATTACACCTAATAACATGATGCATGAAATATAATATATGTGGCAAGGAATGATACATTCAAGTCAATAACACTGACCTGAAAAAGAATGCAAAAATAATTGGATAAATATTATTAAATAACTGCTTGAGATGCCCAACGCTAACACCGTATTCGAGCGTGCGTGATTCCCATGCAACCTTTCGAGTTGAGTTGATTGGTTCAACTGTGTCATATGGCCCTGTGACGCAGGGGTAGGATTACGCAGATGGCTGTTACAATGAATGCTCGTTCCACCCGTGACGAACAGGTCTGGTTGTTGATGAAATATAGTGATCATGGTGATAGCTAAATAGACAGATTTTTTATTCATGTACCGATTGTCTTTAAATGTAATATCCAGTTATGTATGACTGCTTAATAATCTCATACCGACTTTGACTGGATAGGTCCAATAGTTTTTCAGATATTGTAGTAAACGTCGGTACCTTGGATTAACTTCCAGACTATACAAGAGAATTCGGTATTTGCAAGTGTTAATATGATTAAATATCAAATATGACTAAATATGAACTTCAAAATATAACATTATACAAACCTGTCGAATGTCGAATATGTTAATGATGGTAAAGAAATGAAATAGTAAAAGAAGATTCAATAAACATTTTGTTTGTAGTGATTTGCTGCATATTTTAAAAATCGCAAGTAATTGATGGCAATTCTTCTTTGGCATGACTCATTGCATTTAACTTGTTAACTTCTTTCCTTGTGACAGACCTCTATTAATAGCGATATTGATAGTGATATTAATAAAAACAATAAAAAACACAACAAAAACATATTGACATTATCATGGAATAACCCTGCGTGTACACTGACCTACTTCCAGCATCACTGCAGGTACCACATGACTTCGTGCAACACGCTCGCCGCGGCCAGCCAATTCAATTAGCTTCTCCCCAGAGGAGAATTTTCCTAAATCACTTATAAGTCACGGCTGATTTTTATAAATAGTTTTCATATAATTCTTCTCTGGGGTGGCTCATTGCATAATCCCCTGACGGAGGTAGGCTTGCACAATCTAGAGGACCAGTGAATTTGATGAGCCATATGGTGTCCTTGTGATAATAAATTGAACCATGAACCAGGTAGGATCATATAGTTCTACACTACTGTACTTTTAGCAACGTTCTGTTAGGTAACAACCAATATTGTTATCAAAAACAATACAAAAGATGCAATTCACCTTGCAACTCATGTTGTTTGTACCAGTCCACTAGAAGCGAAGGGGTGGAACATACATGGAACAGCCTCCTGTCAACCAGCAAGTCCACATGTAGTAGTTATTGCGAGTGTTGGAGTGTTTTCATTCCACGGAAAAGGACAAACAACATAACTACAGTAGAATGGGTATATGAATCAAAGAACAAACTCTCTCAGCACTTCCTCGGTGAAGGAGTCAAACCGACCACTCTCTTTTAGAGTGACAAGCTCATAGCACCTGATATCAAAATGTACTCTGCTGGCGCCAAATTACTGTTGAGCAGATCTCCTTGATTGACAGTGCTGGCGAATGCTGCAGATCTCAACACCCCTCTAACAAAATGGCCCTTTAATCGTACTGGAGGGACCATGCCTTATGTCGTGTATGGACCCACAGCATACAAATAGGTAGACTAACATTTAGTCTCTGAAATCTTATATTACACAATATCCTTCTTGACTCTAAAAATAAAAAAATTCCCTATGCTGATTTCATGCTGTGGAATAGAGCTAGCTTGAGCTGGCTAGACTTGCTTTTGTATGCATTTCTAGATTATTATTTTTTCATAAAATAAATATATTCCACGGTCATGGTGCAGGACTAACAAATAGGCAACATTGCATTTTACACAACCCCACTGTAACCCTAAAGATTTGAGGGTTTGGCGTACATTGAGTGACGTGGGTAACCTTGCCATTGTATGTGACGAGGGAGGCAAAGGTGTATCCGATAATCTGATTGACACTCTGTCCTCGACATGAGCAGGCTCTGGTCCAGGGAAAATGCAGGAATTGTAAAATCACAGACAGAACTCATTTGTCAATCCTGTCCATTCCCACTAAAAAACTAAAAAAATGTACAATAGGTTGTTGGCCAGTTGTTATACCATCGATGGGGTTTTGAAACTTGGAAATATCTGTGAAGTATCCCCAAATAGTGGTGGGTGCTAACCTGTCATCCAAACAGGGCTGGAGAAACTCCAAAAACTGGGCTAAATTTGCAGACAATCACCACACCAGCAGTCATGATGGGACCACCTGTCCTCGTACTGAATCTTTGTGGAATTCCTCCTCAAAGCCAAACCTGTGCTTTCAACTGCCGGTGAAATGCTTTGATGTTGTAATCGAGAACGGAAGGTGGCCATACCACCTATGTAATCCGTGGATTCGAGTAAGCGTATGTGCCTTGCTAGACAGGAGAAATATCAGTATCCGATGAGCTGGCTGGGTGAGAAACTGGTTGAGTACCCGGGGAAGTGAGGGTCTCTGGGGGCAAACGCCCATAAGGTCAACCTGAAATGCATCAGAAATGGACCATACAGTATATATCTGCAGAGAACATAACACTCAACTGAGTGCGTCCACTCCAATACTGTCCACCCCTGGGATGTAATCGGGAAGGAGAGTGATGCTGTGCCAGCCTCAAACCAGGAGAAAAGACCATGCCCCATGGAGAAATAGCCAATGGCTCTTTGGTGCTTTTCTTCTGAATGTATGCTGCTGCAGTGTGGTTGCCCATCTGAAGCTGAACCACCTGCCCCGGACTACGTCTAGAAAGCACAGGTGAGGAGATGGCTCTCGATTGTCGACACGAGAATGCTGATGTTTAGTGTCCTAAATAAACTCCCAGCCAGCCTGAAAGGGAAGAATCTGTCTGAACTGCACAGTGGCAAGATAATGTAATTCTTCAAATTAATGCATCTCCAAATTAATACTGCTGCTGACCCCTAGCCAAAAATGTGACTCAATATCGATACAAATCCCCCCACCCTATCCCCAGTGGAATAATACATATCCTTACCTTAATCCAATCAAACAGCAAATAGCTTTGCTTATTAGTGCTGAGTAGAGCACTTCCGTAAAACAATTTACAGTGTTTTCCTAAAAACACACAGTTTATATGTTTATTCTGTTGACAGGCATTAAGGAAGTTCAAAAGCATTAAATTAATTGAACCAACAACAGTTCACTGATTGGTATGCGGAGAAGATGTCAACAAACTTGAAGGCAGACAAGACAAAGGTTGTATATCTGAGGAGTGTGATGAACCCAATCGCGTTAATTTCAAGATTTACAGTATACCGAACAGCCAGAGGAATTCCCCCAGCGAAATTCTCAGCCAAAGTTCATCAAATGGAATAGCTGTTGGCACTACCTGAACCAGATGTTGATACTGTTAAATGGGATGCATGAGCAGACGCACCTGGAAGACCACCTCCACCTAAGCTGCCATGTACCCAAACAGGCATAAAATATCCTGGGCTGTGTGGTACTGGCCTGAGAAAATTGTGAGTACAAAATCCTTCAGAGCCATGAATCTCTGGGTCGACAGATAGACAATCCCCCTCCCGGGTCATAAACATTGACCCCCAAGAAAACAAGATCCTGTGACGGATGAAAGTCTGATTTCTTGAGGTTGATGATCCCATGTCTCAAGTCCTGGGCCAGAGCCCAAATAAGCCTGTTGTTCAGGTAAGGGTGACACGGCACCCCCTTCGACGCACTTCTTGGGCTGGGACCATCAACAATTTCATAACAACCCTGGGAGCTGTGGATATGCCAAACGAGAGAAATTTCAGAGATTTCATTTGCCTGCATGACATGCATCAGGGAAGATGTTATATACTAAACCTCTTATTATTAGTAGAGGCTGGATGAGAGAGTCATCAAATAAAATGTCAATAGGTAGACCTGTTAGCTTTTGCTGTAATGAAGGGGATACGAGAGATCTCATAACGATCCCCTCCTTGAGATGTTCCAGAGAGAACAGGACATCTGTATATCTTCTCTTTTTTACTTTTGGCATGAAGCATATACATCATTTGCCTGTTAAATGCCCCTAAGTAACCAAGCACAGCAGGCATTCCTCATGTGCGTCATAATTTGGCAGAAGTCTTCTGCATAAAGTACACTTTGAAAACCAAGTCACTTCATATTACCATATAGGTTGCTGTGAGCCACTTCTAACCCGGAATCTAAACAGGAGGTATGAAACCTAGCAGGTACTTACATAGTACGTTGAGATAGAAATCTCCCCAGATGTAGCCGTGCTTGTTGGTGACATTACACTGGATCACCATGGCGTCTTCCTTGGTGACATTCACCATCATAACCTCATCAAACGCGATTTTCTTGAACCGATTATCTATGATGGCATCTGGAACAGGGCATCATTTGGACATTGTTTCACAATAGAGTCAATAACCAAAACTGTTTGTTTGTTTGTTTTTAAATGCTGCACTAAGCAATATTCCAGCGATATGGCAGCGGTCTGTAAATAATCGAGTCTGGACCAGACAAGCCAGTAATTGACATCATAAGCATCGATGCACAAAATTGGGATATGATTACATGCATCAACAAGTCAGCAAGCCTGACCACCCGATCCTATTAGTCGTCTTTTACGACAAGCATAGTTGCTTTTACTGGTTGAAGACATATTGCAACCCATATAAACACAAAAAAGCTATGTTAACACGTCTTAACAAGGATTTGAGGACATTTATCCATTTCCCTCCATAAACGACCAAAATGTACGTAAAGCAGAATAACAGTTTATTCACAGGTAGGAAAGATGTAAGGGTTTCAGAGAAACCACCCATAAACAAATATTGTGACCTTCTTCTCTCACCTTCCAGGCGTACAGCGTTGATAAACCACTTCACATCAGGCCGAGGCATTCCATTTGCCTTGCACTTGTATCGAGCAGTCCCTCCAATACCCAACTCCACATCTTTTGGTTCGTCAATCCAGTAGGGACGTGCTGCCAAAATTGAAAATAAATATGAAAAAGTATCAACTTAAGATGGGGTTTCAATCAAAACTGGCAAGACCAATGGGAGGATGAAATGTTTAGTTTGAACAAGTTTAGTAAAATCTAAATATTTTTTACATTTGTATACTTTTCCCGCATTACTCCTCTGAGTCTTGGAGCGGCAGGTAAAAAATCATAGCACTGGCACAGGGCACAATAAGAGTTCATCCTCATATTCAACAACCACAATCGTAGAGACAAATGGAATAGTGAAGGACTGCTCAGGCTGTCCTGGTAGCTGATTCTTAGCTGTAAAATCCCAACACAGCCCGAGGTGAACAACTCCATGCGTAATATCGAGTGCATGTAACTCCCTAAACATTGCCTCAGTGGCTAGTAGCAAGAGAAAATTTGTCTACTTGGTGAGGTTAATATAGGATGTTGTGGAGTGGCTCAAAAGGAGGTCCATGGACAACCTCGAAGTACCACATCCAAATCCCAAGCTATGGGACTAAATTTGGCCATTTATATCGCTTAGTGCTCTCTTAAGGCGAGACAAAGCATGCAATATCTGTCTGTGGCAGTTTTCTGTGTAGGTGAATGATTAGATTTGACTACTCAGGCAGGGGTAATGGATTGCTCTTTGCAAGACTTCCAGGTGAGACCAAAATCAGAGTAAGGCTCTTTGTTGCTCTTATTGTTTGCATCACCCTGGGAAGGAGCACTGGAGGCGGAAAAGTGTACACCTTTAGTCCTTCCCAGGGGATGCTGAAAGCGTCGACCACTCAAGCTAGGCTATCCGGTACCAGCGATATGAAGTTTTGGATCTGATGGTTCTGGCTGGTGGCGAATAGGTCGATGTTGGGGCAACCGAAGCTCAGACAAAGAAGAACAAAGGCTTCCGGGTGGAGCTTCCACTCTGTGGGAGCGTCTTTGTCTAGCTGGGATAGAGCATCCGCCAGGATGTTGTGACAGCCTGGAATGTGATGAACCTGGAACTGGATCCCCAGTTGATCCACAAGGTTGAAGAAGTGGAATGTGTGCTGTAGGAGCGAGTGTGAGTAAGTCGTTCCTTGATTCCTGAGACACCAGACAACGGTTGTGTTGCCTGTCGAGATGGTGAACCGGGAGTACCGAAGGGTCTGCTTCCAATGGGAGAAAGCCAGTATAAGCGCTTCCAGTTCGAGGTTGTTGATGTGACACAGTTGTTGAATGGCGACCTGTCCCTCTAGGTGCGCGCCCCATACCTGAAGGGAGGCGTCTACGAATATGTGTAACAAGGTCATAAGCCATGTCAAGGAGACGCCGTCTAAGACGTTTGATTCCACCTTCACCACCGGAGATGAGGTTTGCGGTGATCCGGGAGGACGATGGATATCGATGGATCTTGGCGACTGATGTAAGAGAGCAGGAACATCTGAAATGGACGCAGTTGGAGCCTTCCCCAGTTGGTCAAGTCCTGCGCTGAGGTTAGGAGGCCCAGGAGTACTTGCCATTGGCCCAGCGTGCGTGACTGGTGGAACGCCAGAGACAGCCTTAGAGACAGCTTCTGAAAATCCTCATCAAGGGCTGAGATCAAATTCTTGATCATAGGATCCGGTGGAATAGATGTAAGATCCAACCAAATAGTTTCCTTCTTATCGACACCCAGACCGGGAGAGGGCGCGACAGTCTCGAGTTTTTTGGCCAGCCAATCATCCACCTGGTCAAGGCCGAGGTGAGAGTCATCATTTGAGGGAGCTTCCTCATAGGATGGGCTAAAAGCACCTTCCGAAGAGTCAGAGTTGTAACCTCTGGAATGTTGTTTAACCGAGGTGTTCACTATAGGCATGAGGATGGGCGCCTGTAAGGGTACCTGTAGAGGCGCTGTGTGTATAGGTGCTTGAGGAGATGCCTGTATAGACGCTCGAGGCGGCAGTTGTAGAGGCGTCTGTAGAGGCACTGGTGGGGCCGGAGACGCTGAGACTGGCCGAAGCCGAAAGCACCAGGATCCGCTGCATGGACTGCTGTAAGTACTGAAAGTTCTTGAGCAGAGACACATCCATAAAGGGTAACTGGAACTGTTGCGGATTTGGTTGGTAGGCAGGGTAGCCGTAGCCCGAAGGCATCTGTATATTCGGCTGCATAGCCGCCGTGGAGTAGGCCTGCTGGTAGGTAAGAGCCACACTGGGCATCATTGGGTTGTAGCTATGAAGATAGACGTAGTAGTAGTCGTCAGCGTAGCCTGTGTAGAGACGACAACTGAGGTAGTGGGCTGCAGTAGATACTGGTCAGTCCCTATCCGAGGATACTGGGGAGACACCGCCGGGCTGGAGGGGTGGCAGGCTCAGAAGCATCACGACATTTTGCGCTTTAACTTGACCGCTTCCTAGAATCTCGTAGGTATTTGTTGAACGTTGTGGGGGATAGCGGGAGACAGTCTTTACACTTGGTTGAGTGTAATCACATTGCGTCCCGAGCCCAATTATGTATGCTATAATCGTTTTCTCCTAGCCAGTGGGTTTATGAAAAACATGTAAAACAACACAGCTCTTCCTTCTTTCAGTGAAAGCAGTAACGTGAAGACATCACAGGCCCTTGGTCACGTGGGAGCTGTGTCATAGGGTTGGCCTCTCAGCTAGTTGAAACAACTTCTTCAAGCAAGATCTTCACACAGCTCTTTCTCTCTGTCAAGAACAAGCAGTGACTGCATTAAGGAGTAATGCAGGATAAGTAAAAGATTTAATATATACCAGTACACAAATACGAGCATAATATATATATATAAACATATACTAGACCCATTGCAGAAGAAATTGTACAAGGAAGCAAAGCGCAAACCACAAATTAAAGCCAAAAGTAGACACAACGTGTCTGTCTGATGACAAGCAGGAATATGAAGATATGTGACATCACCACTTCTGTTGGTCACGTGGTAGCTGTGCTGGGTCAGGCTTTAGACTTCACACTTGTATGGAACAACTGTTTCTTTTCCTCAGCCTAGACCATAGCACAGCTCTGTTTCTGTCTTTAGGTCATAAGGAGTAATGCAGGACGAGTAAAAATATAATTTATAGAGGAACTTTTCGGGGTATAGCATTTAACATCTATCATGTCTATAGCTCAACATGATACAGGCAGGGAGATGGCTAATTAAATACAACACACACCACCTGTTGCAACATGATCAAGTTAGCCAAGAAGGATCTTTCAGCTGTCAGCAAATGTCTAAAACAAATATTTTTTAAAGTCTGGGACACATGGTTTACTTACACTCCACTCTCACGGACATGGTTCTCTGAACTCTCTGAGGGGACAGATCATTGGTAGCCCAACACTCGTAGTCTCCTCCATCAGAAAACTCCAAACTTGAAAACACAAGTTCCTGCCCAAAGCTACTCTGCTTGGCGTAGTCGGGCAAAGGTTTGCCATCAGGGCGCACCCAGTGCACGTCTGGTGTGGGACTGAAATGGCAACAATCAGTAACAATACTCCTTCAATACTACTGTGTGTAAACACTCAACTTGATCATGTTGTTAATATCAATTCAATCATACTGACACATTTGCTAAAAATGGTTTCCTAAAACATTTTCAAAACATGTTTAAAGCCACATTAGAAGCTTTTCAAAGCCTGTACCGAACCTAGAGAAGACATACACCAAGGTTTTTTCTACATGCATGAATGTATTTTGTACATGACACTCATTTCACTAGTCATTGTTGGCTCATGGGGGACTGTTGAAACATGGTTGAGGCCTGACTTACTTTCCAGCAAATATACACTTGATCCTGAATTCATCCCCACGTAGTCCGAAATGGTCAGTCGGGGAAGCCCACATGTAGGTGACTGGTCTCTGAACTTCTGAAGCTGCAAACCAAACATTACAAAGATAAGAATGACTAAGACCTCACACCATGTACACTGGACACAGGAAATCAAGGTTATATCATTTATGAAATCACCAGAGATGTGAAACTACTTACATCCCCGTGGTGTAATAAACTGGCGCGCTCCCTGCGTGTTTTTACGCACAATTCCATTCATGGCCATACAGGCATAGGCTTTTCCATCTTGACTGTCAATAGCCTTGACATTGGTGATACGCAGACGAGCTAAAACATAGGAAATATAACGAAATGTATTTTGGGGTAAAAATATTTTTTATACTTATTCTAACTCATACTTATTGCTTATCTCTACTCATTTCCAAAATGTAGTGGACACCTCCTGAACTGTGTACCTGGCGAACAGAGAACATCGACTTTCAGTGGTTGGTTATGGAACATTAAGCAGACATCAATAAGTCTATGTGAATACTGGGTGAGTTTTCTTGTTGTAAGGCCTATCTTCTGTTAGGCATAGTTAATTGTGCCACCACTAAGGGTCCAAACTGGTGAATTCCGGCCACATCTTGTGTAGAAAAATCTCCGAGGTAATGGCTAATGAAAACCATATCCAATCTCCAGAAACAGCCTTCCATAATCAGAAGGATAGAACAGTTTCCATGTAGCACTAATGTAGATGCTATGATTCTCACTAAATGTGGGTTGGAGGCTGAAGGGCGGAAGGGGGGGGGGGGGTGGGTGTTGGGGCTAGCCCCGCCGCTCTGTAGGCTCTGAGGATTACTACTCTCATCCAGAAGTAAATAGATTATTTCTGTGGTATTATTTGTAGATATTCCTTCTGAAATTTTGTCGTCTGGAGCTTGATCTGTTTACGTAGAAGCATAAAGGTAGATGCATACTGGACATAGGGATAAATCCTCAGTGTTCTCGGATCCTAGGACAGATGAAAGTGGCGGAATATGAAACTATCTGTTTGCCTGACCAGGTACTTGATTCAGGCTGAAATGGGCCAATGCATTCTCTACATTGTCAAATCCAGTCTAAGACAAATTAATTGCATGACTATCTGACATTCTAGCTGCATTGGCTAAGGCTGGGAGAAATAATGTCTTCTGAATTAGATGGTCAAAATCAGTATTGGAGAAAACACGCTTACAAGGTTTTGGTAGACAGAGCATGCCCTGGGGAGAGGGAAAAACCAAGGGGGCGAAGCCCTCACGTTTTTTTCCGGACCCCCAGGGCATGCTCTGTCTACCAAAAATGAGGGAAAGTGTTTTTCCATACTTATAAACCGTCTAAATTGATTAAATGTTATAACGAGTATCTATAAATGAGGCGCTTCATTATAGCGCTTCCTTGAAGACGTGATATCATAACTTGCACGTGAAATCGCTGACTTGCCAGGCGTTCAAGAGCACTTGGATGTGTCAACAACAAAACACAACTAAAATACTTACTTTTAAATGAAAGTGAAATCTTCGGTTTCTAAATGTTGCAATATTCCACTTCTTTTAAACTTTTCAAAACGAAAATTCGCAAATTTTAAAGGTGTTTTTTGCTTTACAAGATTTTCGACTTTAAACAATCCACCTGTTACATAGAGGTAGTTGTGACGAAACGGCTAGCAGTTACTTCACGTGCAGATTGTGCAGCATTGATAAGCACTTGTTTAAAAGCATGTGTTTTGAAACCTTGTTGTCCTTTCACCAGAGACTCTGAAGTGGAAAGATGAGCGACAACTTTCATTTTGTTACCCAGTCTTCATTCACTGTACACATGACATTCAAATTTAATTGAATTAAAATTTTGAATTGCTACTTGTGGTCATTTTTTCAGTTACTTGGTTAAACCTGGGATTTGAGGTTTTACATTCAAAGTAAAACCTCACGAACGAAAATAAAACCTCATAATAGGTTTTACTTTGAAAGTAAAACCTCTTAATAGGTTTTACTTTGAAAAAAACTCACAATAGGTTTTAATGCCTATAGAAAGAACTCTCTTACTTAATAGAGATCCCAATGAATAGGTTTATATAAGCTTGTTGTCAGGGTTCATGTGCTTCCCTGGTTAGGTGATTAAGCACCACATTCAGATCTAAGGCTGGAGCTCTGAAATTCTTATGTTTATCTTCAAGTCTGTACGATCATAGCAAGTCTAATATTTCTGGATCTTTGGTGAGCTTGATTCTGATATGCATAGTTAGCACGTAACTATTCGCTAAAAGATAGGTACTTAATGTTGAACCTTTGAGATTCCTGGTACTTTGGAAGTGACAAAGGAATTTTGCTACTTGTGGTAGGGCAGCTTTAGCAGCCATAAAACATTTATAGGTTGCAAACTGGTCAAAGCTCTTGCATTTCTCATGGTATAAATTCCTCATAGATCTGCAATCTGCCTTGGCTGCTCTGTCTGAATATCCCCTTCTAGTGAGGGTGAACGTTATATGTTCCATGAGTGAGGTTCGTAAGTGTCTGGGTTTTGATGAACTTGCATGTGAGGATGAAGAAAGTTCAGCACTTTGGGAATTCTACTGTTGGTGTACCTGTTAGTGCAACAAGCTTTGGGTGCCAAGTCCGTGCCGCCCAGTAAGGCACGACCAAAAGCAGTGATAGGTTGTTAGTCTGTCTGACTTTCTGAATAATCATTGGTATTAGTGTCTGTGGCTGGAATGCGTAAGCATGTAGCGCTTCCCAAGATACTGACAGGGCATCGGTGGGGCAATATCACATTTCACAATGTCTAAAATACGCATTCAATTTGATATTATCATTTTTTATCAAAAGATTAAAAGATTATTCACTATTTCCCGCAAGTTATTGAAAATACAATTCTCGTACACACTTTGAAAACTGGTCCTCAATGAACATGTCAAACAGCAAAATAAAGATGTTTCAAGCAGACCTTTGAATATATTATACAAAGTAATAAAATCAACAAAAATATATCTAAAAGTTGCCAAACTGACATCTTAGTTATTATTTCCATCTTTTCGTGCAATCGCGTGTAATGTAAGTCAAATGACATCTCGGCTTTCGTTGCCTCGTTTTCTCGATGTCTTAAATGCCAAAATATATGCATAAGAAATCTTTGTCACAGCTTGTAACCTAGCACTTTGCATCCATGAAGTTCTATATTTTTAATAGAGATCGCGATTTCATGCATAAAATGTTCAGAATTGTAAATTTTCTAATAAATTGTATATTAATATACTTATCCTATCTCACACTATGCCTTTCCTCTAATTCTTCGATCTTGGTGTGGAAACGTCCTAGAACAAAGTTTCAAGCTTCAAAAACACCACTCACCCAAACACATCCCACACATCACTGTGATCATGGTTCACGCACCACTAAAATCCTGTGCGACACGACCCCAGCGACCTGATCACCTGACATATCCAGCACCCTCATTCTCAATCTAGACCGTACAGGCTGGTGTAACTGTGATGTGGGGATGGTTGGGTGGGCATTAGCGTGTGAGATAGGATAAGTATACAAATATACAATTTATTAGAAAATTTATAAATTTTTAAACTGATCCTGTCTCACACTATGCATTTATCCCACGGTTAGATGGTGGGACGCAGATACCCTAGCCTGTAAGGACTTCAACCGTGAGATGTTCACGAGGAAGCTGCAACTAATCAGGAAAATGCAAAGGATTTTACAAGGATTAGTGATAAACTCGTGTAAGGGTTGCTTCAATAAAACCTCTTTGTGCTACCAAGAGCTATACATCATGACATCGGGGAATCTTGTGTTCCATGGTTTCACACAGGACGTCGTTACAAGAACGACCCCGTAACCATGAACCAGGCGACACCTACTCGGTCATGACTTAAATCTCACCCCGAATAGGAGGAGGTGTTTTGTTTCAAACACCCCATCCCCGGCGCAGGTTCTACAAGACAGACCTCACACATACGCTCCCAAGGACGTAAGGAGGACCAGCTTGGCATCTCTTTTATCGCTTCGTCAACCTATCAAACTCACGTGGAGATTGAATAAGGTAAGAACGAGAAGAGGAACGATTGACGATACCCGTTTATCACACAGGTCATCAATCAACTATTTAGACATCACATGCTCAAAGGCAGAGGTGAGCAGGTAGAAGATCGGGACACCATTTAAACAACTGGCCGCACCAGATGGTGACTTCTGTTGGTGTTGACCCGTTTATCACACAGGTCGTCAATCAACTACTGAGACATCACATGCTCAAAGGCAGAGGTGGCAGGTAGAAGATTGGGACACCATTTAACACATGGCCGCACCGGATGGTGACTTCTATTGACGTAAACCGAAGTCCCAACAGACAAGCATATATACCCTCCCTTTGGGAGCTTGTCTTGGAAACCCGATTAAAATAAGCGATTAATATTGCAGTATATACAGGAAACCAGACTTGGGACTTGTAGTCCACTGGGCTTCCTCATCTGTGCTGTGTGGCTGCTGTGACCTTGGACATCAGCGACTGAGATTCCGAAAGGAGTAGGAGGCAAAACCATATCAGAACGCCATAACATCTCTCCATGATGGCTGAAAGTGTGCAATACTATGCAACGCCAAGGTGGAAGTCACTGCCCTCGTCTCATGAGGATTGGAAGCAGCTGGGGTGGTAGTCCCTCAAAGGTGTAGACCCTGAGGATGATAGAACGCAGCCAGTGGAGATGGTGGTTCAAGATACATCAGAAGTTGCAGCCATCGACAAGTGGATGAAAACAGACGGATGGTCTGAGATGCCTTCAAGTAGATCTTGTAGGCTCAGGCTGGACACAGTGAGACGTCTTCCAAGACATCAGCTCTCAATCAATGAGAGTGGTGGAGGCTGAAAAGACGATCCGGTTGTCCTTGAATGCTTATCTTATTGAAGACGCTGGAACCGGACACAACCAACGTCTAAGCATGAGTCCCTCTAACACGAGCTGCAGAAGCGAACGCAATCAGGAAGATCGTCATGAACGTAAAGTTCGAGGTTTATCCACAAGTGGTTTATAGTCAGCCATGAGAAGTGACGGAAGAATACAGGGAGATCCCATGCTGGAGGGCCAAGTCTGGAAGATTGGTCCATAAGGTGATATGAGCCAATCAGTGTCCAAAGGTCAGCGACAGCAGAAACTTTGGAACCTGAAGTCATGGTAACGCCTGAATTACTCGCAGTCTGAAAGATCTGTGTAGATCTATCGGTTCAGGAACTAGAGTAAGTTTTATCCCATTAGTGTGTAGTTGGTACAGAACTGATCGCTGCCCAGTAAGTGCCCAGTGTCG